GTTCAATTAGGACATATGAAGAACAAGGCACAACCTTCTCAACCTGCTAAGCTTGATTTAATTGCTCATGTAGAAATGAAAAAAGAAATGGAGATTTCTGGTGGAAAGGGAATCAATATGGCATGTGCCGTGATTTGGAAAAAGAAAAACAATTGAAATATGGAATTGAAGAAACTAGATGGGATAAAATAGCAATGGTGAGTGAGTGAGTCACTCAGAAATGTCCTTTAACAACAAGAGATATCTAACTCTATGTAGAAACCGTGGTGGGGCTCTTTTTTTACCTACATTTTTTTATCAGATGCTAACATGAGTGCTAAATTTCACAAAGAAAACTCTAATGCAAACATTAAAACTAAAGCTGGACAGATTGTGAATTGTATTTTGGATCCATTTAAGGTTCATCTTTTCGTGAGGATTAATAAAATTAAATTAAATTAGGGGTGGAACTAAAATTAAATTAGGATTAATAAAACTAATTTACTGTTCGATACGGTATGACACCAATCGGGATCACAAATGTGGAACCGATGTTGTGCCAAATAGTAACAGGATGACACGGTATCATCCCGTTTATACGTCAACACCAAACGAGACGGCACGAGATTGGCACGGTTTCGGGATGGTTTCGGTATTCCAGTTTTGATGCCCACCCCTACTTATTACTCATAAAACTGAAATATGGTTTAGCAGTATAGAACAGCAGAGAGAGATGCAGACTTATTGTGTCATGTTAAGCAAACTTATTGTGTCATGTTAAGCACACTTATTATGTTATGTTAACCCCATTTCTGAATACTCCGATTCCTCTTTATCCCGATTCTAGGTTAGTAAACATGCCCTTATTGTTAAGCTATCTTTTGATTGTGTTATGTTTATAGGCTTATAAATATTTTCTGGAAAGCTGCAGATGATAAAATTCTCAGAACGGTGGTGAAATTAGTGTAAGAAGCTTGGTACTAAGCCTTTCAATTAGAAAGAGTCAAACAATATGGGTAGAATATTTTCAGATATATTTCATTCTCCGAAATGAGGTATTTATAATACAGGTTACAAACCCTAGTAGGGTTTAATTAGGAAATAAGTGGAATCCTAATTACATAATATCTATACAAAAAGGAAAAATAAATAAAACCCAAATAGAATAGGATATATTCTACTCGCCAACACTCCCCCTCAAGTTGGAGCAAAGACGTCACGCATGCCCAACTTGTCAAGCGAGTTGAGAAAGATACTTGTAGAAACAGCTTTCGTAAGAACATCAGCTAACTGATACTCTGAACGGATGAAGGGGAAGGACACAATCTCCGCATCCAACTTTTCTTTAATGAAATTTCGATCAACCTCCACATGTTTTGTACGGTCATGTTGTACAGGATTATGAGCAATTGCAATCGCAGCCGTATTGTCACAATATAAATCCATGGGTTTATTAGGCCCAAAACCAAGGTCTTTCAACAATCTCCTCAACCATAGTAACTCAGATACACCATGGGCCATTCCCCGATACTCGGCCTCAGCACTAGATCTAGACACCACCTTTTGTTTCTTGCTCATCCACGTAACAAGATTGCCACCCACAAACATAAAATACCCAGATGTCGAACGCCTATCTGTGGCTGAACCTGCCCAATCAACATCTGTATACCCTTCTACATT